CAAGCGGGTCCAAAGAGGACCCCGACGAGGGTCCAGAGAGGCAAAAAAACACATGAGCTTCTTAGGTTGTTGCATCATTTTGGAGTTGTCGCGTGTCCGGGCCTCTGAAAGCCGACGACGGCCCAAGCGCCCGTCACCGCGGCGAACTCCACCGCCCCGCCGCTCCGCTGCGCGCACGCCGACGTCCGCGCCCTGTAGGCCAAGTTGTCCAGCCTGCCGGAGAACTCGAAGACGCCGCCCACGGTGGCGCAGCACGACTGGCGTCGGCTAGCCCAGGCCTGCACCAGTCATCGCACTGAGCTCCACCCTCGCACCACCCCGCCGTGCGCTCGCCGACTTCTGCGCCTGGTAGGCGAAGTTGTCCAGCATGCCAGAGAACGCGAAGACGCCGCCCACGATGGTCGGAGGACGTCAATGATCCACCTCACCGTTCGTCATGCCCAGGGTCGGCATGCCCCCCTGGCATGGCCAGCAGGGCGTATGCACACATCCTGGGCCCAGGAGTGTGAGCTTCGTTTGACCCATCACTATCACCACTGGCGTGGCCTGGGCCGCACCGGCCGACTTCTACCTCCCTGGATGGGGATGTGGGCTGCTCCTTTCGGGTTTCGGTATGCCCATCCCCAGCTGGGACGCTGGGATGGTGGGGCTGAGATACCGTGGCCCGGTGGGGGGGGAGAGGCAAAACGATACTGAGACTGGCCTTGCCAGGATCGGTGACGCGGGCATTCCACGTCCCCCGTGATGGCGCAGCACTCCGTCAGGAAGTGGAAAAGGCTCTTCCGGCTCCGCGTGACCCTAACTTCGAACGGGGTGAAGTCGTAGCTTAGCACGATGCCGAGGGCGGGCTCGTCGGCGGACTCCCCCACCTCTCGGGCGTGAGGAAGAGCATCAATGACATGCTGCCGTTGGTGGCCCGTCAGCGTGCCACTTCTTCATTGTTTGTCCGAGCGCCTGTTGTTTCACAGTAACACACTGATGGGTTCCCCACCGCGACGTGTCATTTGTATTGCGTCTTGCTCCCCGGACCTCCACGGACTTCACGTACTCCGTCACGCTGTACTGGTGGCTGACCACCTCGGGCGCGCCATCCTCGCGGTAGCGCGTGGGGATGACGGAGGAAGAGAAAGCGTCACAAACACACGCTTTCGGAGGTCTGGGTGGATTTCTCGCATCCACGCTGGGCCCCCCTCCCGCGCGCCAGGGGCGGCGCCGCAGGCGCCGCCAGGGTGGCCCAGCGCAAATCCGAGAAATCCGCACGGAGCTCCGAAAGGTTATGCTCATGCCGTTCTCTCCTTCGAGATGACGTGGACGTCGTACTGATA